GGAAAGAGTCAGGTAAATAAAACACAAGACGGTGGTGCTATGTGGAAGACAGGTATGTGTGTTTATATATAGGTATGTACACACGTACACACACAGACACACACACACACACACACACACAATGACCATGAGGAACACAGAGGGGCAAGTAATTTACTATAGCTGGGGAAGTCAAGAAAGACATCATAGATGACACAAAAGCAGATTTTAAATAATGAGATGGGGTTGCCCTGGACACTAGGAAGGATATGCTAGGAAAGAGAATAGAATGTGCAAAAACATGGGGGTTTGACAGTCCGGGGATGGGCACGCTAGTTGATGTGTTTAGAATATAGGGTTAATCCAGAAACATGCATGGAGATAAATCTGGGAAACTAAGTTGGGCCAGATTGTAAGGGGCTTTGTAAGTATCTGAAGAAGTTTTCACTTTATTCTTTGATCACCAGGGAATCATAGATGCTTTTAGGGTACTTAGGGTACAAGAAGGTGGCACAAGAGCCAGATAGTAATGACAGCCTTAGGCATATCAAAACATGTACCTGCTCCAGAAGAGTGACTACATTTTCCTTTATGTTTCAGAAATGCAAATCTTATGTCTGAAAATTTAAAATCTCCTCATCCCTTGAAATGTCTTTTTCAGCTTCTCTTAAGTACAGTGACTTTGATGATGATGATAACAAACATTATGTGGAAGGGCTGTGTTAAAAAATAAGAATGATCCTTTGGAGGTCAAAGGGAGGACAAATGAGTATCAGAGAAATAACACTGCATCCACTGTAACGTGTGATGAAAAGCAAACATACCGCAGATATGGCCCTGCGTGACTTGAAGTATATGTTTATAAGAGGACTTTTACTAGTGATTTAATAAAATTAAATTTACATTCTTATAACTTTCTGCTACCACTGGGCAGATTTCCTAATATCTTTGCCTCATCTTCACTCTGTCTGAAAAAGAAAGTGGCAGGAACTGAAATCCAAGTCAACCTTTTATTCATGACTATGAATGGGGAATTTGAAGAAAGAAATTCTACAAAGATAAAATCAGAATGGGGCTGGAGAAGAAACACCTAAGCTTTCACTTACATGAGAATCCAATACCACGTTGTTGCATAGTCTTCAAACACTTTCACTCCAATTGCCCTTGCATCAAGGACTTTATTGATACCACTGAATTCAAAGAAGGAAAAAAAATCAATTATTTTTTGACTACCACTAAACAGAAATGTTCTTGTTATGATAAAAGGGATTTGGAAGCTGCAGTTCTAAGCATATTTTTAGAAACCATTTATCACTAGTGACTCTTTTCCTAGCCACAATACATGAGGTGTCACTTCGTTAAACCTGCAAAGGTAGCCAGCTACAGCTGCACACAGAGGGAACGTGGCTTCCAAGGGCGATAAACAGACCCCTCTCCAACATATGCAACACACCCTCAGTGTTGCAGAAGCCTCACTATAAGACATGAATTTAGATGGTAAGATCAGCTTTTAACTTATAAAATCCATAGAGCCAAGAATGAATATGATATTTAATTCCCCTTCTTAATCTTGACAGCTCTGTAGCAGGAAGGCACAAAGAGGCACATACAGAAAAGTGCACCAATCGTTAGCATCCAGTTTGATGAATTATCAAAGTGAACATACTTAGTAACTACAGCATAGTCATTCTTTTCCCCCATGTGCCCCAATTACCACACCTCCCCCCTCTTCCCCTAAAGTTAACCATAATCCTGACTTTTGTGATAATAATTTCCTAGTTTTCTTTTTAGTTGTACCATTTATATATGCATCATAGGGTAATTTAATTTAGTTGTGCTTACTTTAAACTTTTTAATCAATGGAATTGTATTATTACTTTATGATTTCTTTCACATAGCTTTATATTTGTGAAATTCATCCATGTTGCTATCATATTCTAAACACACAGGAACTGCACTATTCTACTCAGACTGCTAAAATCTTTTGAGAAAGAACAATAATTTTTTTACAATGCCTTTATTTTTTACTTTAAATTCAACAACTAAGCTATGAAATGGTACTCTGTGTGTTTATACTTGTGCACATACAAGTCTGTGTGCACCCAGGGAATTGTATTTCCCAATAACGTGGAACACCATGATGCATACAGCCAAGGGAAACAGAAAATTTACTTCACTGTAGTTAGTCCATAGAAATTCGACACAGTACTGATAGAGCAGCATCATGGTTGTTTCACCTTTCTTAAGGCCCCCTTCCCTTTAAAATATCTAGCAGTTTTATTACTTCAGTCATTTTTTTTAAAATGGTGCTTTAAAAAAGCATGGGTTTTTAAAATTATGCTTATTCAAAAGTAAATTATACTAAGGTCTTGCGATCTGTTTCGTGATGTCTCATTTCTATACCTGTTGATAATGAAAGACTTAACCATTTTGAAAAACATAATCGTTCTTCCAAATTCATTCTGCTTTCTCTTTTACTTGGCTTTCTTAATGAACCCATACCGAGTTCTCTAATCCACAGTGACATGGATATTTCAGAATAATACATAATTCTTCCTCCATAACCCTTAACCTAATGGAAGTTTTAGTTTGGGGACAATAATGGGATGCATCAAAATTGAAAATGGGGGCTTCCCTGGTGGCGCAGTGGTTGAGAGTCCGCCTGCCGATGCAGGGTACATGGGTTCGTGCCCCGGTCCGGGAAGATCCCACATGCCGCGGAGCGGCTGGCCCCGTGAGCCATGGCCGCTGGCCTGCGCGTCCAGAGCCTGTGCTCCGCAAAAAAAAAAAAAAAAAAAAAAATTGAAAACGGGAGTGTAAACAACATACTTTGCAGCTGCCCTGAGTTCTACAGCATTTCTTGTCTTTCCACTTCCATCTTCAAACACTGTCTTATTTCCTACTGTTAAAGTGCCATTTTTAGTAGAAAAGTCAGGGAAACATCTCTGGAGATCTGTGAAAATAAATTAAAATTATGATAATCACTTTCTTCCTTCATGATGTCCTCCCTTTCTTAAGCCTTCTGTTATTTATAATCAAATTCTTACTAGACAATGTATAAATTGCTGAATATAGATAATTGCCCATTACTTGATAATCAGATTTTCTGATAATTCTAAGACTGACATGGCAAGCAAATACGATCATAATCTGAAGCTACATTTAAACTTGCTGATTATTTTATACGTGGTATATTCATCAAGTAGCCATAAGGAGGACACCCAGCACAGGTTTTATAAGAGTAATACTGATAACCTCTCTCTCATGGTAAACACATTGTAATAAAAAGGCTATATTTACTTGAATGATTGGATGAATTAATTTTGTTATTTGACAAAATTCTTAGATACTCCTTGAGTGAAACCTTGAAAACCAGTTTAGTGAACACTTCCTTGGGAAATAAGAATCAGTGCAAATTTTAGGTTACTAAGACAATTGAATTTTTATTTACAAAGTCTGAATAATTTGTCTCTCTTCCAGCTCATTTACAAGTTTTTTTTTAAGAGGGGCTGGAAATGGGAATTCTAAAGCTATCAAAAATGGCCCACACTTTGAAAACTAGCATTTCCGAGAAGAGTTAATTTACCATTCAATCTTCTATGTGCTTATTTTTAATTATACAGAATCCTTGCCTCTTTACAAATCTTTATTACTAAAAATGTTTTAAAACCCCAATTTTAAATGAAGAGGGAGGAGCAATCAGAAATGGATAATTTTTATATTTTTTCTTACAAGAAGTATTGCAGACTTGCATGGGTTCGTATGGAGTGTAAACCTGAAAATATGAAAGCAGCTGATATAGAGAAAGAAGAAATATGTCCTTGTAAAGCTTTTCCTGACTTTCCTTTCTTAAAATGGTCTGATCTACCCACCTTCATCTTCCGTAGCATTTATAATCGGGGTGACTGCTTCAGTGCCCTCTCTCTCTCCTGCTCTTCCCTGGCAAATCTGACATAGTAGCCTCTACCAGATGCTTCCATTCCCTCTCAATCCAACTGTATTTCTGTCTCCACCTCTCCATGCAAATTAGCCTCCCAGTGATCCCAGTGACCTCCTAGTTGCCAAAACCTCCAAATCATTTTTAGTCTTCATCCTGCTTGAACCCATTACCTAGCACAGTGCTTGGCACATAGTGGAACTCAGTAAGTATCTGCTGTTGAATGAATTAACTTTCTGTTGAATAAATCTTTGACATGGGAGACAACCCCTGCCTTTTAAAACTCTCTTCCCTTGGTTTACAGGCCCAGGTTCTCCCCTGCCTTCTCTTCTTCCTTTCTGTGTACTCTTTCTGTTTCTGCTCCTTCAACATGACTGTTCCCACATACAGAACCCCCGAAACTTGTTCTACATATTATATCTGGGCAATAACTCATCTAGTCTGTTAGCTTTAATTACTAAATATGCTCATTATATGTTTGGAAAGCAGAGAAAATTTTATGAAAGAAGATACAAAACTGTACATAGTTTTACCACCCACAGTGAACTATATTAAACTTTTGGTGCATTTCCTCCAGTCTTTCTTCTATAAGAAATTTTTTTTTGAGAGTTATACAGTACATGAGAGGTTGTCCCTTGTTTCTTTCTTATAATATTACTTATTTCCATTTATAAAATCTTTAATGAGTGAATTTTATTAGCTGCATACTATTGTTTCAAGTACTATACTTAATCCTCTATTGGGGAGATACAAGTGATTTCAATATTTATCTTAATGTTTCCTTCACTAGACTGTGAAGCACTGTGCCTTATTCATTTTTGTATCCCCAATGTACATTTCATATTGTGTGATTTAACCAAACTATACTTATAAGGGCAGGACTATATGTTATACTTTTATACCTATTACATCTTCAGTGACTAATGCTGCATTTTTACCGTTTTGCATAAAAATTTGTAACATTCTTCTTGACTACAGACACTTGTTGCCCAGGACTTCCTGGTTAAATGCAGTTGCTTGCCAGGCCTACACCTTTGCTGCAGGGTTTTAATGATCCAGAGAAGAGGAATGGGAGCACGTAAGACATTATGTTTGATGGTAGCTATTTCAATGGTACCTGACTTTCTAGTCAAACTGATGACTGCTGTCTTTCTTGCATTTTAAAAGAAATATGTACTCATTGTGGAAAAACAGAGATATAGAAAAAAGAAGAAAGAAGAGAGAAAATGGCCATAGTTTTGCCACCTCCAAAACAATCACTTAATATTTTGGCATATTTGTTTCCAATCTTTTTCTTTGAATAGTTTTTTTTTGGTGGTTGTTTATTTTAATTTATACAGGCTTGTCATAATGCATATAGTATTTTTCATTTTATGTAACATTGTAACATATACACAATACTTACAGGTAAAAATTATAAATATTTCATTTAATGAATACATCATAATTTATTTAAGTGTTTCCTTGCTCTTGGATATTAGAGTATCTCCTTTTGATTTTCTTTGTCTTTTCTTTTTTTGGGGGGTGTTTTTTGGAACAACACTGTGATGGACATCTTTATGTAAAGTTTTTCTCTGTTGTTAGAATTATAGCCTTAAGAAAGGAAAATGAGTGATTATTTCATTTTCTTCTAAACAGTTAAATAAAGTTTATAGGGGCTTCCCTGGTGGCAGAGTGGTTGAGAATCCGCCTGCCGATGCAGGGGACACGGGGTCGTGCCCCGGTCCGGGAGGATCCCACATGCCACGGAGCGGCTGGGCCCGTGAGCCATGGCCGCTGAGCCTGCGCGTCCGGAGCCTGTGCTCCACAATGGGAGAGGCCACAACAGTGAGAGGCCCGTGTACCACAAAAAAAAAATAAATTTTATAAATTTTAAAGAAATAAAATGTTGATGCATTCAGGAGACATATAAATATTTCAACTTTCAAATTATAAATACAAGTATATGCCTCACCCTCACTCCCCAGTCAATTTCTCAACAAATTTTTTGGCTGAATTCAGGGGTGGATGTGTTAGAGTGTGTCTGTGCATATGTGTGTTCATAGAGCACCAAAGAATCAATCTGAATAGGCTTTTAAAAATCAATTTTCAAACTTTTTTGTGTGTGTTTAAGCAGCCAAACCTAAAACCTCACCAAGCTCCAGTGGAACATCCCCAGCTGGAGCCAGAAGAATGGGCTTTATTCTTCCTAATTAACTCTGGGACCCTGGGCCAGCCATAGGACCATTCCCGGCCTCAGTTTTGTCAACTGTGAAAGGAGGGAATTGAATTAAATAACTTCTTGGTAGATTCTGTGTTTCTAAGGTAAAATAAAAGCCACTTACAAGGTTTGCTTGGAAAAATCGCTGTTGGACAATCATCATCCAGTAACACTTGTGTGAGAGTCTAAAATTGAAGGAAGAGTATATTAACATTTTAAAGATGATGGGATGACAAGTTTTACTCTTGATATAAAAATCTTGTCCTTTAAAAATTCAATTCCCTAATAATCTCCTTATCCCAGATTACACCCCTAATAGGAGTAATTGTAAGATTATCACACACACATACTTGTTTGACAAACACTCTTAAATATCCTAACTGTAGTTCAATTGAATCAACAATAATACAGTGAGACCTGCTGAAACCAAGGCATGTCTTTGAAGGTGTGTATCTTCGTATTAGTTATATCCTTAGTCTCTAATCCTTTAATTTTTTTCTAGAAAAATGGTATCTTCTCTAATTTAGAAGCCATTACTACTAGTTAACACAATAAGGCTTTAGAAATCCCTTATAAATCTTAAATCTAGGTAGTGTTTGGGGACTTTTTAAATGAGTAATTATCAAACCAGGTTTGGAAGTAAAATTCTTATTACTAAGTAACCATGGAGCTTTATCACCACATTAATGAAATGGTGACTGCAAATGGCATTTAGCTCTTAGCTCTAGACAGCAAAAAATCCAAGTAGAGAATTTGCTGGTGTCAGGGAATAGTTGATGCTAACTTACCAGACCTAACAGTCTTGTATGACACCCCAGTCTACAAAATGATACGGTATAAATTGTGTGTGTATGTGTTTGTATGTACATGTGCATTTGTGTTTTAATGAAATGGTACCATTAGTAATCACTTCCAAGAAGATTTTGGAGCTTGATCCGTTACAAATGCTCATGTTACACTTGCGATTGAAACAAGGTAAATTCTTTCTAGTTTTAAGCTTAAACACACATACCTTCGCAGGCTTAAGAAGAGCAGACTTGCAGAACTGGCTGTAGTATGTCCAGTAGTTTCTGTCTTTTCTGTACATAAATTGTATTTCCATGTAGGTTAAAAATTTTTCTGGGCACTTGGAGACACAGATCTGTGAAATAAAGAAACACAATGGTGGGAACTAAATTGAGTTGAACAAACCAAGGAATTATCTACAAGGTTAAACTTCTAAATTACCCACCACTATAAAAAAGCAAAGCACCATTTTCCATCTAAGAAATTTAAATCAATTCTCTAAACTTACTGTAAAAAATAAAATTTCATGTACTAGTATTCAACCTCTACTCCTTGCCCTTCGATGTTGATGTTCTGTTAAAACAATAAGATGCTGTACAATGACAAACTTACTTTTACCTTCTGATTTGACATAATTGTAGATCTACATGCAGCTGTGAAAAATAATAGATTCCACATACCTTTCACCCAGTTTTGGCCAATAGTAATAACTTGCATAACTATAGTACAATATCACAATCAGGAAACTGATATTGTTACAATCCACTAATCTTATTCAGTCACCAGTTTTACATGCATTCATTTGTGTGCATGTGTGTGCAGTTCTATGCAATTTTATAATTTGTAGATTTGTGTGACAGCTTCCATAGGACAGTGATGAACTTTTAATGAAATATTTTTTTATGATTTTCTGAATTAGTAGATAAGAGCTTAATGCAAGATTAATTTCACCTGTGTAGTTTATCCATTTTTCAGGGTTAGAATCTTGCTTTCTTTCCTTTATGTAAATACAATGGTAATTTAAAACGCTCCAAACATTGATAACTTATGCCACTAATAACTAGCAGTGCCAATGAATTCTCAGAACATAATTGGAGGTTTTATTACCATAAGAAACTAACAAAATTAGGGCTATTTGTGGCAATCAATCATTATTATTGTCTTTCAGCAGCACCAGTCAAACATGGGCAGAGAGGTCACTGATGCAATTATCTTACATTAATTAACTTTGGGGGCCTATTAATGCCAAACCGGATGGCCGTGCTAGTCCATAGAGCCACCGTGGAGTGACTGCAATCCAATTAGTAACTCCACAGAGAGAAAGCAGAATCAGGGAAGATGCACTCTGTTGGTTTTGCTTTTGTTTGTAATAAAAAGCCAAAGATCATGGGAAGCCATGAGAGTTGTAGTCAATCCTTGAACATTCCCTTCCTCCACCTTCAGTTCCTCCTTAGGAAAGGCTTCTCAGCTCTGATTTGCTCCATCTCCCTACTGTACTTTGGTAACTATTCTCACTGACCAAATTCTAGCTCAACCCCCATGGTAGTTAGGTAAAAACACGGCTGCTGAGGTGACATCTCTTTCCCCTTTTTTGGGTCATGTCTCTGCTACAAGAGGACAATTGGTATCGACCCCACAGCTAAGGTAGTAGGTAGATAACTAAATGGGTACCTCAAAAATCTCACAGTTAATATTGTTTTGTAGCAGCAGCAGTCCAATTTCTTTTAGAAGGTTTGACAAGGTAAACAACCCATCTCCACATTCACACCTCCAGATGCATTTTCTCTTTCTCAGTCTCTCCTACACACATATGCACACACACACACACAAGCACATACACACATTCATACACCTCTAGAGGAAACACTGAAAGTCTCACAGGTATCTTTCTATGAAAACTGAAGAACTGTTTAGGGACATTCACAGCAACCAACCAACATGCTCACATTTTTTGGAAGAAGACTGAGGTCATTGCCAATGCAAACATCAAAAGTTTACTCTGATCGGAGCTAAGCTGAGAAAACCATTAACATATTAGGAGCTACCTCACAGACATTTAGACTTTGGCAATTTACTTACATGACTCTGAAAGATAACTGGACTAGCCCCTTGTTGGATACATTTAAATGGATTTATAAAAGTGAATACTGAATATACTAATGTTTTCATAGGTTTTCAATGATGGTAGGAGCTACTGAGTTGAGGCTATGATGATTTCTGTATTTATAAATACACACACATACAATGTATACTACACATATAAAAGTGCGGTGTATGCAACATATAAAAGAAAGTAATTTAAGTGGTAAAAAATGTTTTGATAATGAGAATCACATCAAATTTCATTCCAGACACAAATGAGCTGTTAAAAAACAATATGGCAAATGTTCTTTACTCTCTCTCTATCAGACCAATTTGTTCACTTCAAATAGGGTGCTGATTAGTAGCAATCAACATATAATTAGCCAAAAATCAAGGTCACATTGAGGTTGGGTATCCTAATTGATCAAGTTCTGTCCTTTAAATGCTTATGACACATGTCTGGACCGTGCTGCATTAACAAAAAACATCATGCGTAAAAATATGGCTTGGATCAGTAGACGCACTACTGCCTGGCAGACTGAAAGCAATCCTGCATTATTGGCAGCTAATATATATTCTGACTCAGTTCTGATTCTTTGTATAACCACAAAGGGACATTCTGAATATAGTTCTTCATCATTACTTTTACATCTTCCATTCATATAGGGTTAACATTCTAATATAAATTAGGATTTGGTGAGTGGAAGAGAGAGTTACACTGAAGGTTAAAACACTACAATTTGCAATGAAGAAAGGATAATCTAGTAAATCTAGTAATTTATGAAACGTAATAAAAAGCATAATGTGCAAGGATTTTTTGTTTCATCATGGGAATGATGTATTTGTATAGTGTATTGGAAAATTTTCTAGACTGGGAATAGGAAGATATTCTCTCATTCATTCATTTACTCATTCACTCAACAAATATTTATTGATCACCTACTCTGAGCCTGTTCTAGGCACTGGGGACACAGTAGTGAACAAAACAGAGAAAAATCCCTACTTTCTAGTAGGGGAGATGGTTAACAACAAATAAACAAAATTGTTTGCTATGAGATGGTAGCAGGTGTTATGGAGAAAAATAAGGCTAGAAAGAAGGCCAGAGGATGAAAGGTACCAGGGTGGGATTCTAATTTTAAATAGGTAGTTAAGGGAGGCCTCAACAAAAGGTAATATTTGAGGAAGACTTGAGGAAGACTTGAAGAAGACTAGTGATCTAGTCATCTGGAGAAAGAGCAGGCTAGGCAGGGAGATCAGCAAAGTCTAGAGCTATGAAGTCGGCACTTTCCTGGATCCTTTGAAGACAACAGATGGTCAGTATGGCCCGAGTGCAGTGAGCAGAGGGAGAGCCATAACATATGTGGTCAGAGTCGGGCAGACAGTGTGGGACTTTGTAGGCCATTGTTAGGACTTTGGCTTTTCATATGAGTAACTTGGGAAGCTATGGAGGGGAGGGGGCTTGAGCAAAGGAGGGACATAATGTGACTTACATTTAACAGGATCACACTGGCTGCTGGGCGGAAAAGAGAGTTTAAGGGGCTGGAGACAGGGGCAAGAAGAGACCAGTCAGGAGGTCACTGAACTAATCTAGCTGGTTCCTTGGTGAAAAAAGGAGGAGTTTGGTCCTGGGTATATTTTGAATGGAGATCAGAGGAATTAGCTCACAGCTCAAACATGAGTGTGACAGAAAAGAGGGATCAAGGATGATTCGATGGTACTTACAGCTGTAATAGAAAAGACCGATGGGGGGTAGGGAACAATTTTAAGGATAAAGTCAGAGACTAGGAATTGAGTTTGGACATGTTAAATTTGAGATGCTAACTAAATATCCCTGTACAGACATGGCATAGGTGGTTGGATAGAAAGATCTGGAGTTCTGGGAGCAGACTGATCTAGATAGATAAATTAGGAAGCGCAGCATATAGATTGTGTTAAAACCACAAGATTAGGTGCAATCGCCAAAAGGAGTAAATGTAGATATTGAAGAGGACTAAGCTTGGTAGAGGAGGAAACTCCAGTGTTTAGAAGATGCTGGAAAGATGAAGAGAAACCATCAAAGAAGACTGATAGGGAGTAGCCAGAGAGTTGGGAGGAAACACAATGTTGTGCCCTAGAGGGCAAGTGAAGAAAGTATATTAAGGAAGAGGGATTGATTAAACAGTGCTGTTAGCTCAAGTAAATACGGATTGAGAATTGACCATTGGTTTAAATCGATGGAGATCAATGGTATCAATATCATTTGGAGAAAATGGAGTAGGAGTAAAAGCCTGAATGAAAATGAGAAAGGAAGATTTAGACACATTGAATATAAACTATTCTTATGAGGAGTTTGGCAAAAAAAGAGGCACAGAGATATGAAGCAGTAACTGGAAGGGGATGTGGGATCAAGGAGAGAATTATTTAAGATGGCATGTTTGTCTACCGATGGGGATAACTTAGTAGAGAAGGAAAATGGTAATAAAAAAAAAAAAAACAAGATTTCTGGAGTCGTGTGCTGGACTTTGTGAGCGAGGATAAGATCTAATGCATGAGCGGATGGGCTGGCCTTGGGCGCACAGGCTGTTCCTCCACAGTAAGAGCAGGGAAGGTAGAGTAAATACATGGACACAGATGATGACAGGTAGGCAAGTGGAGGTCAGTGTGGTAGCTCGTAAAAGTTGTCTTCTGAATGCTAATACTTTCTCAGTGAAATAGGAAGCTAAGTCAGAGGCTGACATGGAGACTGGGAAGGAGGTCTTGGAGGTTTGAGGTGAGAGGAAAAGGTGTGAAATTGTTTTCTAGCAGAGTAGCTAGTGAATGGGCAAAGGGTCTCCTGTGTGATTTGGGGACAGCATTAACGGCCCCCTTGAGGTTAGTGGTCCTTAATTTCATGGACTGTTGTGTGTGTTTTCTGCAAGAACACACAGCTTCCTGCGTTGAGGCATGGAGTAGGAAGAAAGCTGCATTTAGCCATGAATGATGTTTTGCCAGGCAAGTACAAGTAAATGAGAAGGGGCAAAAGAACTGAGGGTTTATATAAGGGAGTTATTTTTTTTAATTTTTTAATTTTATTGAAGTATAGTTGATTTACAATGTTGCGTTAGTTTCTGATGTACAGTAAAGTGGAACCAAGAGGAAGCAACTAAGTCAAAATCTTACTAAGTTTTTGAGGCAGTTGTACTGCCAAATTCATGACTTAACCTGAAAAGGCCTTTCACTGTTAATATAATCTTTGAGGTTCTAAACTCGCACAATAGGAAGAAAGTTTCAAAGCCACGCGGCCCCTAAGAGGGTATATTTCCAATGCTCAGCAATGGTGTGGTCTGAGGCTGACAGACAGGAAATAACCTTCCAGGTGGTCGAGCAAAGAATCATAGGATGTGATGGATAAGGAACTTCCTTCAGAGAACACGATCCAGGTCCATGTTCTCCAGTGCCATGCACTAAAGACCACTGTGCATTTATACCTCCTCCCTTTCTGAATGGGAGCTTGTATTCTAATTTTCCTAGCCCTGTTCCCCATTGTGCATCTAGTATCAAGACCTGATGGAGACACTATCCATAATCCATAGATCCTAGACTATGGGTTAAAGATAGTACCACATGGGATTCTGGGCTGTCTCCCTGGGGAAGAAGGGTGTTCTGGAGGACAGAGGGATAGACTATGGAAGAAACAATGAAGTTTGTCCCTATTGTTTCATTTGTTCATGGTACACAAGAGGCTGCTCAGCCCACAATTACATTGCTTTATTCCCTCCTTCTTGTATCTCAGTGTGAACTAATAAAACTAATGAGTCTATGGCATATAAGTAGAAATGCACTGTGTGACCCTACTGATCCAAGGCTTTTAAGAACAGGGGTGCTTTATTCAGCCTCTCTGTCTTCTTCTGGCAACTGGATGCTGCTCCTGATGAGGACTTAAGGGATGACAGAGACACCAGATGAAAGGAGCCTGGAAGAGAGTTGCCCATTGACCACAAACACCGCCTTTTACTCTTATATGACCAAAAAGAAACTACTGTTTTAAGTCACTGAAAAATGCGTTTATTAGTTACAGTAGCTGGCTTTATTCTTCCTAATACTGATCTTGAGAAAAATATCTCCACTTCTCTGGGCTGCAGTTTATTTATTTATAAAAATAGGTGGTTAGACAAGATAATCACTGAGGTTCCTAGTAATACTAAAATGATTAATCCCTGCTTTTTTTTTTTTATTGTATATGAACAAACATGAGCTTATACTTCTGTCTTCCCACCTTCCATAAATTCATCATTAATCACACACACCCACCACTCAAATGTAGTTTCTCAATTCTTTCACCCAAGAATGTTCAAAATCGCTAACATCACCAGCGAGGCACTTTTTTTTTTGCCTTACCTGTCTGGTAGGGCACTGTAGGTTTACCACCACGGAGGGACTGGTACAGCTGAGCAGGTTAAAGTAAAACAAAATGGGCTTGTTCCTAAGAGAACAACATAATACTTTTAGTGACTGTGGAAATATTTCATATCATTTCAGCCCCTGTATACTTTAATATAACATAACATTGAAAAATCGGCTTCATTTTCCCCAGACAGTTGCAAAATATTCTCCAACTCCCCTTTAACCTGCCTAACATTTAAAGCACCATTCGGTCATAGTAAAAAGTTGAAATAATCAAATTGTCCATCAACAGGGTATTGGTTACATAAAGAATTCCACATCCATAAAGTAGAAGACTATATTGCCATTGAAAATAATGTTGAAAAATGTTTAATGTTTTAGCAGGGAAAAGTGAGACCCAAAGAGATCACAGGAGAGTTGAAATAAACCAATGGGGTAGAAAGAGGGCAGCACTGAAGCAGCCTGTCATGGGAGAACGTGGAGTCAAGTAAATGGGCTTGCATCTTCCTGGCAGTACCTCATCTGACAAGAGACTGGAGGTGAATCACCAGGGATAAAGCCAAAGGGGTTTGGTGGAGGGCAAGCCAAAGCTGATTTCTCAAGTCAAAGAACTAGTCAGTGAGGACTTCCCCAGAGAATTTCCACTTGTGCACCATGAGAGAGCCAGCCTTTGGATGCTTACCCCAAAGACAGAGTTTATGGATAGTCAGTTACATCTTAGCTGCAGTAGCAACAACCATGTGGGACTAGGGCAGTGGCCAGGAAAGTAACAGATACTCTTCTTTCTATCTGTCACAACACAAAGAAAGAGCTAGGACCAGGAGAGAGGGAAGAGAAGGGAAATAGCAGAACAGGGCCTCTCTCCCACTCTAAGTTCCCTTGCAGTGTTCAAACCTGAGCTGGGGAATTGGAAGAAACAAGATTCAAATTTTAAATTGGACTGCACTGAACTTTTTAACAATAGAAAGTATTTAGAAAGCTATGGAAGGAAGCTACCCAAGATGCCAAAACAAGAAGGAAAGAAATTTGAAAGAACATTGTTAAAGGCAATAATAGGGGAAAAATAAACCCATTTCATGTTTGTAATCCCATCTAGTTCAGATGGCTCAAGAATCTGGCTATCAATTCATACACAATATGCACAAGGCTACTTCACGATTCCACAAGAGCGAGCTTGGCTCTTTCACCACCCAAGCAACTATATCTTCTGCATGTGATTCAGATTTGTACCTAAGCAAATGAATAAATTATTACATGTCATGGATCATTGGAGTCCCTTAGGAGTAGTTAAAATGCTGAATGGTAAATCAGTAAGTGTCAAGAGTCCCCCACAGGTAAAACTGATTTATAAACTGCAAAATGCTACATAAACTCAAGTTATTCATCAGATTAGGTGATCCTCAAGGGTGAAGTTTGTATCTTATTCATCTTTACACCCATCTACCTTGCCAACACTTAGCCGAGTACTTGGCCCATATTAGGCACTCATCAAATGTTGCAGAATGGATGAGATCAATTTCAGGATAAGTTTTTCAATATCTTAGAATCCTCCTTAGTTTTTTGCACACATCTATAGTCATTCTATCAAAGTCTGTCTGATATCTTTAAACATCAGTGGTTCTCAGATTCCTTAGGTACAAAGTAGATGGCGATGGTTGCAGCTGAACAATTCTGCAGAAGTGATTGAGGAAGTAACTCATTATTTAACTTGAATTATATTTCCACCATGAAACAACAAAACAGAAGCAACTACAAACTACTAGTTTGAGATGATGTAAGATGCACTTAAGCCCATCTCTTTTCTTTCCTGAGACTCATGGAAATAAAAGAATAAAAGTACAAAAAGGAATAAACCTCACCATATCAGCTAAGGATGTGCAGGATGGGATCTGCACACAATTGCACAAGAGAGTTCAACAATTTTTGGAAGATGGAGAGCATATGAGACTGTGTTGAGTGATGAATGCACCATAGAAAAGCTACAAAAAGGGTGGGATATGATATGCCTGTTAGAAATCATGACACATTCTGGACTCAAAGCTGAGAGTGAGAAATGTGGCCAAAAGTAAGAAGATTAATGAAGGTTTATATACAGGTCTACAGTGCAAATCAGTGTCTCTATGCTCCTCCCATACACCTACACTTAAGACTTCTAGCATCCAGGAAAATTGGGCAAAAACAGAGGCCTCTTTTGTTGAATGATAGCAAGGGCTTTTGTGGGACTGGGTACCCCAGTCTACAATCCTTCATATTCTGGCATTGTAAAAGCCCATGCCTGACAGTCAGCTTCCCACCAGTTCATGCTGTAGTGAAATCTAACAGCTAATACAACATTCCTATCCCATACGGGGCAGAGGCCTCCCTGGAAAAACTGAGCTACTAACACAGAAACAGAGCAAATTCACACAAGCGACCCAATTCTTTATTTAGTAAAAATGGATAACCAAGTAGCATCACGAGTTTAAGAGAAATCAGAATAGGAAAGAGAAAGACTAAAGTAAACAAACAAAAACTGATGCCGGATGAAATAAAAATAATTCAAGGTATAGGAGGGACCTTAAAAAATTTTTTTTCAGAGCAATTCAAGCAGATTATTCATACATAAAAATACTATGTCATTAGAGGAATAAATAGGAAACAAGAGGGCTTTAAGAGATTTAAAGTATGATTACCAAAAATTTAAAATCAAAAGCAGAGCTGGAAAAAACTTGATAAATCTCCTAGAATACAGAATAAAAAGTCAGAGATGGAAAATATAAGGAAAAAAAAAAGAGGTATCAAGACTAATCCAGGAGATCCAAGGTATGTCTAACAGAGTTCCCAAAAGACAACCAATAAAATGGAAAGAATGAAAACAGCAAAGAAATAACTGAAGAAAACTTTTCAGAGCTGATGAGAGTCATAGTTATTTAAAATTAAAGGACCCCCATTGAGTCCTGAACAAAAAGAATATTTTTTAAGAAAGACCTACATCAAATTGTGGGATTTCAGAACACCAAGAGTAAAGAAACGATTTTAAATGCTTTCCCAGAGGAAAAAAGTCACCACAAGGTATGTGAAACAGACTAGCATTAGACACATTGGATGCTAAAAACAATAGAACAGTATCTTCAAATTTCTGACAGGAATTGTCTTTCAAGTTACACTTCTAAAGCTAGACCATCAGTCAACTGTAAAAAGGGAGAAGAAAAACATTTCCAGGGACTTCTCAAATTTACTTCCTGTGCTTTCTCTTCTTAGGAAGATAATCAAGAATGTTCCCCCTCAAAACAAGAGTGTCGACAAAGAAAGAAGACAAGTTGTAATATAGAAAGTGGTTCATGGGATGTGCTTACACTAAAAAAACATATATTTCTTGTTTATCTGAAATTGAAAATTAACAGCATTCTGTGTCTTTATTTGCTAAATCTGGCACCTCTAGAAGTGGGACTCAATCTAACGAGGTACATAAGTCCCAGAATTAAAGCTATGCAGTAGGCCTAAAATTTACCTGGTCCTGAGTGGAACAAAAGGACAGAAGTTCTACAAGGCAGGTGTTCAGAGAAGAGGGAGCCTCTGAAGAACAGTGTGATTGGAATGGTAGACATACTTATGGTCCTGATAAAGACTATTCAAGAAAAACTTGGCTGACAAATAAAACATTATACAAGAATGTCATTGCCCTATGTTGAAATAAACTAAAATGTAGCATGATGCTAAGCTGCAAATAAGGTGTAAGGTTTGGCTTTGATATCAGGGACACAGTAGAAATGAAAATGTAATGGCCAGACAGTGACTAAACTTCATGTAGTTATTACAAAGTAAAAGTCTTATTTCCAACTTCTAGAATCAACCTACCAACAGACCATGAAAGATTCTGATGAAGTTGCAGAACTGAACTTTATAACAAACTTGATCATGTAAAGGGTAAATATAGAAAGTGGAATAGAAAGGAAAGATGGAGAGAAGGGTAGTGGGGATAATATCCTCCTCTTATATAAAGAGGAGTCGAGATACTGACAAAAGTTAGTGGAACAAGCAATTGAAGCTCAGTATACCATTTAAAGTCACAAAAGTAAACTATAAGAAAATCTGAAGGCAATAATTTAACTGTTAAACATGGAACAAGGAGGGAGAACAGAAAAATAGATAATGTAAATTAGTTAAATCTTCATTTTTCATAGCAGGCTATCAATGGATACTATCTAAAATTAATAAAGTAAAAAATGAAAGAATAAACATATGATTTAAAGTTATGCAAAAAACTGCCAGAAGAGCTAAAAGCAGTGTTATGGACTGAATGTGTTCCCCCAAAAGTCATATGTTAAAATCCTAACCCCCAAAGTGATGGTATTAGGAGGTGGGGCCTTTGGAGGTGCTTAGATCAGGAGGGTGTAGCCCTCATGAATGGAATTAGTGCCCTTATAAAAGAGACCTCAGAGAGCTCTCTCATGCCTTCCTCCATTTGAGGATACAGAATAAAGATGGCAAACCAGGGGATGGACCCTCGCCAAGAACCTGACCAAGCAGGCACCTAATCTTGGACTTCTAGTCCCAAGAATTGTGAGAAATAAACTTTTGTTGTTTACAAGCTACCTAGTCTATGGTATTCTGTTATAGCAGCCTGAACTGACTAAAACAACCAGAAGGAGGAGAGATTATCTTTCTGGAAAGAAATCTCCTAAGACAGGAGACCATTGCTTTTATTACTTTTATTATAAGGTCTTCATTATTGTTTGGTTTATTTTCATAGGCATATATTATTTTGATATAGATTTTAAAAATTAAACCAAGTAATAGATCTGGGCTTGTAGTATGTTCAATCAAACAGACTTGTGAGACCTCCTTGTCATTTTATAAATGTTTCTTCCGTGAATTGAAGACAAAGTTATTATTGCTTCACTTAGATGCCAAATTGATGCAAAACTTAAATAGAAGAACTTTATTCTCTTAATCTTTCCTGTTTCCCTATCTGAAGCTCATACTAGAAAGATGGTTATTTTGGTCTGTCTAATCTGGCAATTGGGCTGCATCAGACAATGTTCAAAGTTGTTTTAACCCAAACTTTATAACCTGAAGTTTTTGTAGTAGCCAAAAGGT